GAATGAATGAATGAATGAATGAATGAATGAATGAATGAATGAATGAATGAATGAAAAATATATCTTGTCTTTATTTTTGGTCAACCCAAGGTGGTATACCTACTGGATGCTCCCACCTCCTATCTTCCCCACAACAACAAACCTGTGAGGTGGGTTGGGCTGAGAGATGGAGACTAGCCCAGAATCACCCAGCCAGCTTCTATGCCTAAGTCAGAGTCCCCTGGTTTCTAGCCCAGCCTCTCTGCCACTAGACCAAACCAGCTCTGTGATTTTGTCCCCACCATTTTTGAAATCAGCCCCAACTGCCCCAGAAGGCTGGAGTTGCAACTTGATCTGTCAGCAGCCGAGATGGGGATGAGTTGGAAGTGCAGCAATCATTGAAAATTCCAGAATTAGTCTGGGAAATAGTCGTAACTGGAATTCAGGAGGAAGGAATGGAATGTGGGGTTGAAGGAAGAGGAGGAGTTGGGGAGCACAGAAAGGAAATGTGACTCACCTTCTGGCAACCTGCCTTCCATTCAAGATCATTGGGTAGCCAGTGGGGATAGCCAGAGGGGCACCCAGGCTTGGCTTTAACTCCCCATTTGCCCATGAAGTTCACCAGATGACTTGGGACAACTCACGGCACTCTATTCATTGTGTATAAGGCTACTCTGAAGATTAAAAATCGGAATCACTCCCAAGGCGTGGATTGTGCTACCTTCTTTAGAGGAGAGGACAGCCCTGGCTTTCAAACAAAAGGCTTTTGCAGGGCGATGTTTCTGAGAGGGGCAACCAAGTTTCTCTGTTGTGACAAGTCAACAAAGCATCTTAGGACACATTAAAGCAGAGGTGAACCATGTAATGCCCACACGTGATTTAGGGGCTTCTAAAAATTTGATTTATGGGGCAGGACATTATGGAACGATGGACAATGTTGCCTGCTCAACCACTGCACAAAAACACACACTATAATACAACAGCTCAACTTCCCAAAGGAAGAAGTTGATCCTGTTTTGAAATCAGGGCCACCACCTAGTAGAGCAGGCCAAAATTCCATCCTGGAGGAGCCCAAACTCCAAACTCCAAATGCCATCCGCCAAGCCAACCCCCTCCTAACAGTGAGCTTTAAAGTGAGTTGTTGAGCTTCTTCTCCCTTTTCCTAAAAAAATAAAAGTAATCTGGTCTACCTAGAAACACCTTTGGCATAATAATTTTATAATGGCATAATAATCTCACCAGCTCACCCACCTGAGTCATGAAAATGGGTTCCGACTTCCCCATATCAGTGACATCTTCTGTGTGCATCTCCTTCTCCGTAGAAATGCCATCCTCTGGTTCTGGAGGCAAGGCGTAGGATTGGGCCCGGGCAAACAATTCGTACAGCTCTCTAGAATCCGATCGGGAGGGCGGAAGCAACAGTGGTGAAGACTTTCGCACTGAGGACAATTCAGCCAATGTCAAGCTCTTCTTCTGGCCATGTCCCACAAGAGAAGAACTTGGGGGAGGAAATCCAGGATCTTCCTGTTCCTTTGAAGAATCTGAGAGATTCATATCTTGAAACACTAAGGTAGGAAGCAGAGAAGGTTCTGCTTGATCTTCATCTACATCTACCAAATAAATAGTTGGCAAGCGAACCTCTGGGAGGTGTCTTGCAGATGATCCAATTAATGAGACACATTCTGATAAATCCTCTCCACCTGAATAGGAAAATAGTGTGGGTTCCTGCTGATCTTGTTTTTCTGTGGATGATCCACTTGATGGGAAGACCTCCTGCTGATCTTGTTCTTCTGTGGATGATCCACTTGGTGGGAAGGCCTCCTGCTGATCTTGTTCTTCTGTGGATGATCCACTTGGTGGGAAGGCCTCCTGCAGATTCTTTTCCACTGAAAATGATCTCACTGGTGAAAGTGGCATACCCAAATCCTCTTCTCCAACAACAGATTCAGATGGTACTACTGGTTTGGATTGTTTCTGTTGTGGCAAAGATGAATTAAGCGGTGTAATGGATGCTGACTCACTTTGCTCTCCAATAGAACTGGCAGACAAAAGAGTCTTGGATATATCTTGTTCTTCTGGTCCAACTATTAGAACAAGTTCTGATAGCTCCCGTTCTTCCAAAGGTGAGTTGGCAGGTGGAACAGTTTCCAAATGTACTTGTGGCAATTGTTCTGCTAAAGGTGTTTTCATGGAAGGGCTGGATTCTGACAAGCTCTCTAACTGGAGAGGAGACTCAGACAGAACTTGATCTGCTGAAAATGACTCAGCTGGCGTTGTGAACCCAGAGTGACCCTGCCCTTGTGAAGCTGATCCACATGGTGAAAGAGCTTCAGACTGACTTTGTTCCAAGGAGAATTGGGATGGAGGAACATTACCAGCCAGGATCTCATCTAATGAAGATCGGTGTGGGGTACTATTTCCAGACAGTCCTTCTTGTGAGGACCTAGGGGTAAGAATTTCACTTGCTAAACTGGTCAGAGAGAGAGATGCAGACCTCTCCTCGCGCTTAAGAGTAGATAGGATGGGTTGCTCAGGATCAAAGAAAAAAGAAAAGGATCTGCTTTGTGGGACAGGCCCAGCTTCATCTAAACTCATTCTTTTATTAGGATCCAGGTCTGCCCCTGTCCACAGCTGCCAGAAAGTAGTCTCGAGAGCAGTTTCTATCCTCAAAGGGCGCTTTCGGACCTTTGGTAGCTGGGATTTAATCTGAACAGACACAGAGAAGATCAATGCAGGGCCATCAGGATTCAGTCCCCATAACAACATAGCCCTCAACCTTTTCAGGCTCAGGGTTCATGTACAGATAGTCCTTGCCTTACAACTATTTGTTTAACGACCGTTCAAAGCTACAACGGTGCTGAAAAAAGTGACTTAAGACCAGTCCTTGGACTTACAACCATTGCAGTGCCCCCATAGTCATGCGATCAAAATTCAGGCACTTGGCAACTGGCACATATTTATGACAGTTGCAGCGTCCCAGGATCACGACTGTCATTTGCAACCTTCCCAGGGGGCTTCCAACAAGCAAAGTCAATGGGGGAAGCTGGATTCGCTTAATGACCATGGAAAAAAGGTTGTAAAATCAGGCATGACTCACTTAATGACCGCATGGCTTAGTGACGAAGGTTCTGATCCCAATTGTGGTCATAAGCTGAGGACTATCTGTATAACTTCATCCTGAGCGTCGGATGCTCTTATGCCTTTATCAATGGCCAGCCTCACCCTTCCTTCCATTCTGTTTGCACAACATGTTTAACTAGCTCAGTTAAGACTAACCAGGTTGTATTTGCCCAACAGGCAACGCGTGGATGTTTTTTTTCAACTTAGATTAGGGTTCTTTGTGGTTGAGCATATTGTCTGAACCCAACAGGTTCATTTCTGGTTCACCGTATGTACTGGCAAACTCCCAGATGGATTAATTCAGTAACTAAGTTAAATGTCCAAATGCAGCCAACCAAGGACAGGCCTGGAAAGAACTGGATTTCAATCTCTTTTCTGCACAAATGCAAAAACGGCAGCGCATAAAACTCTGCAATCTTGCCTCTGGCTATATGGTAACAAAAGCAGAATCCAGTTTCCTTTGGGCCTATTTGTAGCAGGTGTGAAAGCACCAGTGAATAAAGAGATGGCTTTCCTTCCTATATTTATTTTTCCCTGCTCACTGCACATTTAAAATACGGCTGTATTTGTCAAAACAGGAGCTCTGCCTAATTGACATATTCTGCACTCTTTAGATGGACACCTTTTGACTGAAAAGAGTTTGCAGGGTGAGGCCAAGACCCATTTTGCTCCAGAAATTTGTTTCTCCCAGTGGCCAGCTGGGTGCCTCTTGGGGTGCTCATAAGCAGAAGATGGAGACATTCCCATCTTCCACTCTTGTTCCCCTGCAACTGGGATCCGAAGACATGCTGCCCCCAATCCAGAGGTCACATGGAGTCTTAAAGAATAATAGACCTCCACAGACCTGTCCTCTGTGGATTTGTCCCACCTCCCTTTGAAAACCATCTAAGTTAACGGACATCACTATATCTTAACTCCAGACACCTTCAAGTTGCCAAGGTTGAGAAACACTGTTGTAAGTTGCTATGAAGAGCTGCAAAAAGGGGAGGGGGAAATTGAGGAAAGCCCCCATTTGAGAACCATGGGAAAATGATCTTTCCCAAACAGGTTCTCTACAGATATGTTGGACTGCCACTCCCATCATTCACAGCTAGCATGGCTACCAGTGCCCAGCTGGGAAACAGTTCTAAAAGGGAACGTGAAAGCTGATTTTCACGTACTAAATTTGATTCACCTTAACCATGCTAGCGGTGCGCCTCTACGAATAAAGCAGTTAAACTGCCACAACCCATCCCGGTTCCTCTCCCTGCACGAAAAATATCCAGCCCAACAGAGACAATGCTGGCTCCCTCCCCAAATTCTCTTTAATTAAGGATTTTTTACAACCAATTTCTTAAGGTTTGTACCTCCCGGTTTGCCTTGATGGGTATAAAAATGCGTGGCTTCTCCAGCTTGGAAACTTTCTTCCTAACCAGTTTAATTCCTAGTTTGTTTTGAAGGAAACTGGTGAGCAGAGGTGGGTCACCTAGGGGAACGGAGGGAGGAGAGAGAAAAGGAGAGTTCGTTTTTAAACAACTGGCAGAACAATTTGCCTTTATTTACCTAACTCTGTGTTGCTGTTAGAGCAGTGTTTCTCAACCTTAGCAACGTTAAGGTATATGGACTTCAACTCCCACGGCTGGCTGGGGAATTCTGGGAGTTGAAGTCCACATACCTTAACGTTGCTAAGGTTGAGAAACACTGTGTTAGAGCAATGCAGAAGGACGGTGAAGGAGGAGTACCATCTAGGGCAGCAAAAATCAGAAGTCTGGTATCACTTTTTCCAACTAACCCATTTTATTCAAGGCAAAAGCTTGTATTTTATTTTATATTTTATTTTATTCAAAGGCAGAAGCTGCAACTCACCAAAGCTTCTGCCTTCGAATAAAATGGATCAACGGGGCTACCAGACTCCTCCTGATTTGTTGCAGAAGGATGCGCCCTCCAAAGCCACTTGCCATGCGAGCATCACAATTCTGCTCCTGCACATCCCAAATTCCAAGCCAAGGAACGCTGAATTCTGCATAGTTAAATTATGCAGTTTTTTTATTTTTTTAAAAAAATGTTTTTTGTTTGGTTAAACGCTAGATCTGCCTTGGGCTATGCCAAGTGGGAATTACGAAGGTGTAGTTCCAACATTTGCAGAAGAAGCCGGACTGGGAAAATTGGTGGCTGATTGAGCAACAGGCAGATGAGGGCCTTGTCAGACGTTTCTATTCAGGTCAGATACTTGCATCGGGATGGAACGACCTGGAATCAAAGGGCTAGATGGGGAAATAAAAACAAAATCACAGCAAGGAAGCAACAGCCAAGATTTCCATATTGGTGTCAAGAGCACTACTTGGAGGTGTCTGTAGAATCAGTCACAGCAGGTGGCAGCCTTGGCTGATCTTGAAAAGCTCAGCAGGGTTGGCTGCTCTTAGCACCGGGATGGGGGACCACTTGGTGATCGCCACACTGTAAACTCAACTCAGGAGATGGGGAAAAAAAAACACTTTCTGGACGAAAACAATGGTACACTAATCGATGTGGTTGCCAAAAAAAAGTATACGAAGTCACCAGAAGCTACGGGGATCTTGAACCCTTGCACAAGAAGAAGGAACAGGCATCACAGTCCTCCTCCTGGCCGCGGGGTCCTAGTTTAGCTTCCTTTCAGAAATGCTCTGTTCCTATTTGTAAGGGTTGCTTTTACAGAGCACTTAGTCTCTTAAAGCCTCTGTTGTGGTTGTCTTCCCAAAACAGAAAGGAACAGATGTTAAGAAGTCCCACTAAGCTTCCCACGTTCCTTTCCTGCCTTTCAGGTGACAAAAAGCCAAGGGGGTCCCTGTGGGCGCCACCCTCTGCCCCAGGAAAGCCCCCAACCATGGCCACAGGCAGATGGTACCGCTCCGCGAAGTGGTGAAGGGGTTGCCATGGAAGGTCAGCTCCGTCAGGGAGGGGAAGAGCGCCACGGCCAACAGATCTTCCTCGTGCTCAATCTGCAGATCAAAACAGGGAGAGGCTGTTCGGATGACGGCGCCGGTGCAACTGTGTCCTCCCACTTGGGACCCTCTCGGGCCAGGCTGAGATGCAGGCGGGAACGGCCCTCTTCCCAGGGATTGGAAAGCGGAGCCTGGTCCGTGCCCACTTCAGAAGCGGGGAGGGAGAGGATGGAGCGTTCCCTGCAGAACCCATCTATCCCTGCACATGGAAATGGAGGGTGTCAAGGAGAAGGGGCCTGCCCTTAACTTTCCACTGAACTGCGTTTCCGTTCAGAAGGATGTCAGAAATCTGGAAGGGCGAAGGCGTTTACCCCTCAGCATCAGAGCCAGGATGTCGGTGGAGCCCAGCTGGTACGCTTTGCTCTGCGCTGGTGGAGGAGTTGATTAAATGCACCTAGCTGCTTTTGTGTTTGTTTTGTTTTTGCTTTTACTGTTTCATTTGCGTATTTTTCTTTTTATGCCTTGTCAGCCACCCAGAGTTATTTCCCTAAGACTGGCGGCCATATAAATTCGCAGAAGGAATGAACAAACAGGCAAATGAATGAACGAAGCAATATCAAGTTCCCGAGAGCCAGCGCCTTAATGGGGAGATCCTCAGGGCTGCTACACGTGCCAGCCCACCCAACAGGACAGAACAATATTGATTAGCCTTCCTTGCCGTCTCTGACTGATGCTTTGGGCTAATCATCTGGCCAATGATCTTTGGGCCCAGGCACCCCTGGACCGCTGAGTTGGCCCTGAAGACGGAAAAGACTCCCCTGCTTGGGTGCCTTTGCGTGGCTGAAGTGAGAGCAGTAAAACAATTACATTTTCTCCAATGAGCTGGATTCTATTTGATGAGGGGCTGCTCGGGAATATTAAGATGCTAACAAGTTTTTATTCCGCTGAGAAAAACTGATGCGGACAAGGAGAGAGGGAGAGAGAGACTATCATTCTTGCCATTACAGGTAGTCCTTGTTTAACAACCACAATTGGGACCGGCATTTAGGTTGCTAAGCGATGCAGTCGTTAAGTTGATCATCATCGGACTGGATCCAATTTTATGGCCTTTTTTGCGATGGTCATGAAGCAAATCACCACAGTTGTTAAGTGAATCACATGATTCCCCATTGATTTTGCTTGCCGGAAGCCAGCTGGGAAGGTTGAAAATGGCGATCACGTGACCCCAGGATGCTGCAACCATAGTAAGTGCAAGCTGGTTGCCGAGCGCCTGGATCGTAATCACATGACCACGGAGGTGCTGCAACGGTTGTGAGGAACAGTCATATGTAACTTTTTAGCACCGTTGTAACTTCGAATGGTTGCTAAACGAACGGTTGTTAAGTGAGGACTACCTGTATTCTGAGTAACCAGGGGAAAGATACCCTAATGTAATAAACATACTTTTATTAAATAACTGCAAGTCTGAAAGTCTTGCCAATCTACCCAAGTTACCCAGTAGATCCAGTCAATCTATGCAAGTTCTCCAAAGATCATCCAGTAACCTTCAGTAACCAGATTTCTTTGGATTTTCTTTTTTACTCAACCTCTCCAATTTAAAATATTGGAACTGGTGCCTTTGCAATGGGATTCACCAAAGGGATAAAGAACAAAGATGACAATGCCCATCCTTGACTCTGGCCAGGCTGGCTGGGGATAATGAGAGCTGTTGTCAAACCTATCTGGCAAGACACTCAGTTGGAGCAGCATGTCAGAAAAGGTTGGTGTGCAAGCCGTGAAGACTGGAAGCTGGTTTACACAGAGAGAAGCCGGGGGTCCATATTATCTAATTGAGGGTAGATCTTGGTGAATTTTTTCCCAGCTTTGCTTCCTTGTCCTCCATATTGCGGGAAGTGCCAGGACCTGAAACTGGGCTATCCTGCAAAGGGTTCCTGGTTCGCATTTTGACCCTTTGAGGTCCTTCAAAACCCACTTTGCAGGGACTTGTGGCAGGACACTGAGAAGAAATTCTGCCCCTGCAAAATTGGTTTTTGGAAGATGGAGAAATTCAAGGCGGCAATTCAGGAACCCCATTTATATAGGTTTTTAGCCATTTCCAGATACCCCTCACCCATCACATAGTTGCAAAAGATCACCCTGGCTTGGAGTAGCACCAGAAGAAGAGCCCAGTCACCTGGTTGTTGGCCAGACTAAGAAACCTCAGCTCTGGTAAGGGAAGGATGAATTCTGTGTTGATGCTGGGACGGGAGGCCTTGGAATCAGCAAGAGGTGAAGGAGGCCTTTCCTGAAAGGAAGACAAAGAGGACTAAAAATGGAGGCATCTGGGACAATCAGTTGCTGAAGAGGTCACCCAGCCCCAAGATCCTTTTTCTGCTCAGTTACCACCAGCTCAGGCCTCCTCAGAGTAGACATGAAGTTAAAAGATCAGCAAACCTAGTGAGGTCTTAAAGCATTTGTGAACTGCAGTGAAAAACAGGGCATATATAGTCCCACAAGGGGACACGCGGAGCAGTTCTTGAGTGGAGGAAGAGGGAAGAAAGGAGGAATTGGAAAAGAAAGAGAGAAAAAGATGGGGTGCTTTAGAACAGTGTTTCTCAACCTTGGCAACTTTAAGATGTGTGGACTTCAATTCCCAGAATTCCCACACATCTTAAAGTTGCCAAGGTTGAGAAACACTGCTTTAGAAGTAACAAAGCATAGCACAGCAGTTCTATCTGTGACACAGACATTTTTGCATTGAACATGCTTAGCTGGATAAGAAATCTTGGTCCTTGTTCATCAATTAAAACTCTCACTACTTTTCGTGGTAATAGAAAGGTCTTCCCATCTTGGACTGCTACAGTTAGTAACAGAGGGTCCTGGGGAGCTGAAACAACCCCCACAAGCTTCTGAATACTGATGTTTCCATTTTCAGATTTCTGGTCCTTCCTTCTTGGGGTACAGAGAATTTGTCCAAGGCTAAGGGTTGGTGAGTGATGCTGAGAGCGGTGGAAGAAGCAGTACATAAACGTTCTCCTGATGTTGTGAGTGGTATTATTAAATCCTAAAATAATTTCCCCAGAGGACAGCTGGTGACAATAGGATTTTTTGCTTCAAAGACATTAACTGATCCTTGTTTATACTGTATTGATCCACATTTGCAATTTTAATACCCATTCCCCCAGCCTGGAGCAATTCTTTGGGAACAATGTGGCTCTCCTCTTTCATTCTGACCATGCAAAAGAACTGGATGTCATCAGCAAAATTTGCCACCTCACCGCAGTCTCCTTGTGAGCCCCAACAGCCAAAGAGAATAATCTGAAGTGAAGGAAAACTTACCTGAGCCATTAGTTCTGAAGATCTCGCTTGAAAGATGACTTCTGTTGAAAAACATAAATAACATCAGGGCGCTTGAAAAGGTAGGCAGTCTCTCCTGAAATGCCAACAAGGCTAAACCTGTTTTGGATCTTGGACATGAGGGCTTCTGGGAAGGTTTGAAACCTCCAGCCTTCCCTACAGGCTCCACTGGGTCACTATATTTGATTTACATGGGGGCCCACCAAAACTCTTGATAAGATGATGTTACACATAAAGGAAAGTCCTGGGATTAGGGTTCCTTCTCCCCTTGTTGTTGTTGTTGTTGTTGTTTAGTCGTTAAGTCGTTTCCGACTCTTCGTGACCCCATGAACCATATTGCGCCAGGCCTTCCTGTCCTTCACTGCCTCCCTGAGTTTGCTCAGTTTCATGCTCACTCCCCTTGTTACCACCTCCATTTGTAGCACAGCTTACCTCTCAACATTACTCTTGGCTCCTTTTTCATTTATTTATTTATGGCAAAGCTAAAAACTCCCCTGAGCTGAGTTCCACTTGTGGTGACTTCATGGACATGTGAAGTCCAATGACAAAGCACCTCCATATTACAGAAGTCACCCCTCCAGTTAATAACTAGGTCCGACCCTGCTTAGCTTTTTGAGATCCATTAGGTCCTGCCCCCTGATGGTTGGATTTGTTGACAATGATACATAAATATGTTGAGACTGCTGTAGTTATGTATCTTTATCAACCTGGAGAAGGTCGAGCTATGTGGCTGCTAAACGTCAACACCAACTTGATGGCATCTACTAAAATCAAATATATCTTCAACAATTGGATTGATATAACGTTTCTTCACCACTTTGAAAAGATTCACAATGAAGGAAGGTGAGAAATGCATTTCACCATTAATAAATATTGATTACTTTTATTATTGAAGGTAGGCCTCACCTGTCCTGTCTGGATCACTGTCATTTTGTCCAATGATGTAACTGTATTGCTGGCTTAGCCTTGGGGACCGATCCTGGTGCAGCTTTTTCTTTGCGTTTTTCCGGCAACACAGGCCTGCCTGAATGCCCGACTTTGCTGATAAAGGATGGATGGAGAAGTGGGCACTGTCCACGAAATGGAGATATGGCACTTCTTTAATTCCATTTTTGTCCAAGTTCAACTGCTTTAGGCTACGGAGACAAAAAGATCAGTTCTCATTTCACTATGGCACAGCACGCTTTAAGGGGCAAAGCAATGCCACTGTTTGCACAGTCTTCCATCCCTCAGCTCTTATTGAAATCTTGAAAATTATGTGGAGGCCATCCCACTTGTGGGCTCCAGCATGTGACTGACTTTTGCACCCAACTGCAACTAGTCAATCTCCAATTGTTGAAGACTGTACTGCACTTGTCTGACACTGAAAAACAACTTCCTCCTACTATCTCTTCTGCTAGGCCTCCAGCCTCCAAAGATTTTTAAAAAGACAAGTAGCCCACGCTTTACAGTTACGAAGAAATCTGCCTTCTCACCTGTTTGGGAGTTGGGACTGCAGAATGCCAACAGGGCCAGAATTAAAGGGTTAACACAGAAAGACGCCGCCTGCGCATGACAAACCATGGGGTGGGTTTGTAGGAAAAAACAGGGATGATGAAAAGAAAAGGTTGGATTGCTTGTGTGATATATGAGCAGCCCTACCTAGAGCTTGCAAAGCACAATGAAAACATGCAATGCTAACAGGACCGAGGCTGCTATACCTGTCTCCAAGGTGACAACTTTCTGGGATCAGCAAACTTTTCATGTATTTCCGTTAGAGTCAGCTTCTCTCACCTGGCACCCCTTTCTAAGGCATTTTGGTCTACAGCTTCCACAATCCCCAGCCAGCTTGGTCAAAAGCTATTGGTTATGGCTCTTCCAAAGGGTACAGGCAGGTCCAGTCTTCCCTACCTTCGGAGATTGGCCAGGCTGACAAAGACATCTGAGTGAGAAAGATGGTTGTCGTCCAGGAGCAAGACCTCCAATGCTGGGAACCTCGGACAGCTCTCACTGTTGACAGAAACACAAAATGTCTGTTGGCCACCCCAATCTTATCCTTGCTGTTTCTCCTGTCTTCCTTTCCTCATCCTCTCTCTCCTTCTGTTTCCATGGTGAACCAAGACAAAAGTCTATTTTCATGTGCAGAGGAAAATCCACTCAAGCCCAAACAGGAATTCTTTGCTACACTGAAAGCCCTTTCTTCTCTGTTGCCTACCTACTGTTCATCACTATCTTCAGATAAGATAACCTCACAATCTTGTAAACAATGAACTGTTTGGGCGGTAATCAGGGCCCAGAGGAGAAACCCACCATGGGAAATCCTACATATACTTCCTTAAGCTCATGGAAGAAAAGTGAGATACAAGAAAGACAGAAGACAGAAAAGGTGAGCTTTCTTGGGGAAGCAAGAGAATGTCACGCCAGCAAATTCTACATAGGGGCCCAAGACATTCACCTCTGCACTTTTCCACCCTTCCACTCAATCACAAGGGGGCACAGGGTGGCTGAAGGACTACAGAGTGAGAGGTAGACGTGGGCAGGTCAGAAGCAGAGGGCCTGGGACCAGACAGGCACATTACAATAACAATGCACAAATTTCAAGGCTCCTCATACAGAGAAACAACCAGCTCTCTTTCTGCTCGGACAACCACATAGGAAACAAAGACATAAGATTCGATTCTAGGATGCTATATAAATGGCCTCAGTCTAATAGATGGCAATTGCTCCTTTTCATTTCTAATTAGGGCACTTCTAGTATCTGTAATAAAACTAGCTTTATCAAGAGCTGTGCTGTTGAATCTCTGCTTGCAAGACTTTGAATGTGGATATTGGTCAGGGTGAAGCCTAACAAGTACCGTAGATCACCCACAAATTTTCTTGTGTGAGCCCCCAGCTACCTATTCAACTATCTTCAGTCTGCAGTCATAACAATTTAATGATGGGATATACAAACGGAGGTAGCAATCATATCATTTTAAAGAAGGGGAGGGAGGGAAGGAAGAGGGCATCCAAGTTGTACAATCAAACTTCTTGGAGGTGTTCTGCTTATCACAATTTTCCAGACCCTGGGGTTTCTTTCTTTTTGTATTGCTATGCTTATTAATTTTGGGGTTGTATCGATCCTTTAATGTTGTTGTATGCATTTGTATTTTTTTTTCTGGTTCATTAGTTTAGCACAGTTAAACATTAAATTAAAAGGACAGGAGGATCTTAAGAAAAACATTTCTTTTATTCTGGACACATTCGTCTTCTGTTGTGTTGGACCCATCTTACTTGCCCCTGCCCACCCTGACATTCCAGCTTCCACACAAGGAATGTTGGAGCAAAGACCCACATTCAACCTACTTTCTACTACACTGGGGGTGGGTTTATGTTACACTCTCAATTATTGAATTAACTCAACACATTAAGAACGAATCAAGGAGACTCAGTTTGCATAGCATGTTCAACCCCTCACCCCCAGGAACCAAAGTTGAACAAATTCAGTACAGGTAGTCCTCACTTAATGACCACAATAGGGACCGTAAAATTTGTTATTAAGCAGGGCAGTTGTTAAGCGAGTCATGCCCAATTTTATTACTTTTTTGTAGTGGTCATTAAGCGAATCACCACAACCATTAAGTGAATCACGTGGTTCCCCATTGATTTTGCTTGCCATAAGCCAGCTGGGAAGGTCACAAATGGCAATCACGTGACCCCGGAATGCTGCAATCCTTGTAAGTGTGAGCTGATTGCCAAGATGGTTGCTGGATTGCGATCACATGACTGCAGGGGTGCTGCAATGGTTGTAAGTGCAAGGACCGGTTGTAAGCCCATTTATTCAGCATCATTGTAACTTCAAACAGTCACTAAACAAATGGTTGTTAAGTGAGGACTATCTGTATCTTATGCCAATGCAACCATTGTCTTCTGCTTGCCATGTTAAGCATGTTGCATGAATACAACCTCTTTCTTCTTCTTTTTTCCTAAACCAGAACATGGTTTGTGTCTGTGATCTCCCCATGAGCTTACCTCTCCGAGGAAGCCAGATCAAGGGGAAGTGAAGAAAGTCCGTTGGCTGTAAGATGAAGAACTTTCAGGTGGGGTAAAATTCCCAGAGCCTGCACATCGTTAGGGGATAAGTTGTTGTAGGAGAGATCCAAGATCTGGGGAAGAAGCAAAATGACTGGGGCAGGCATTTATTCCCCCTTTAAACAGTTACCCTGAGAGTGCAAAAAGGAAGGCCACCTACTTCAGATGACTCTATTCCAGCAAGCTTGGAAGTCAAGATAAAGATGGGGAATATGGAACCTGTAGTTCAGCAGCAAGAGTGCTGGGGACTGGGGAGGCCTTTCCAAGCTAAGCAAACTCATGTTACAACCAACATGTATAACCCAGCTGTGAAACTGGTTTTTAAATTGGAAAAACATTTTCAAGAAGGGGAAAGATAGAGCAAAGACACAGCCAGTGATTTAACCCTGTCCGCACCCATTCCTAGTGGGGCTTCATGCAACATGTGATGCTTCTTGCAACACATTGATTTCCAGAATAAAGAAATGCCCCCTCAACCCTCATCCTTGCTCTTTGAACTTACTTCCAAGTGTGGAAAATCCCCAACATTGACTTTAAGATTTCTCAGACCATTCAAAGAAAGCTCCAGCTCCCGTAGCCCAGGAAATTTACGAAAAATTTCTAGATGAATGTTAAAACAAAGAAATTTTAAAAAGACAGCCATGTGAAATAAATAGATAGACAGGAGCAGCCAAAATTTTGGTCAAATGATCCAGCAGCCAGTCATAAGACATTTGATAGTATTATACCGCCAATGATTTAGATATCCCTACCCGTATGCCTCCTTACTCCCAAAAATAATGTTTAAAAAGAACCCACTCACACATACAGTCTTTATGTTGGCACAAAACATCTAACCTGGTTACTGAATTAATAACCCACTTTCTGGATTTGCACAAGACATTGAACTCCAAAGGAAACAAATGGCTGAGTTTACTTAAAAAAATAAACTATTCAAGGTTAATAAGGTAAACTGATCTTAGTTTTTGTATTTAACTGAACTTCCGCAGGTGTATCTGCTAGGTTTTTTGCCTGCTTTGGGTATGTGTGTTGTGTGAACATGACCTACACTTTTAGGAATAGGACGTGGTTTATAAAAATCTGCCTGGATGAACGCTCTAGCCATACGAGTCCCTTTTCAAATGACTTCAAGGTGTTATGATGTGACTGTGCAAATTAGGTGAATTATGTAGCTATATAATGTGCATTCTTTGCACAACACGATATGCATAACACCATAATGACCAGATGCCTGGGTAAAAGCTGACATCAGCTTCCTTCTATTGAGGAGCCGATCTTGTAATTAAAGTCACAGGGAACAAGGATTTAATCTCAAAAGCTTGGTATAATCAAAAGGATTTCCCAGGCTTTCAAAGGGAAATTGCTTTGTGGCACATTTATTAATATATGTGCTACCTTTCAGAGCAAAATCCTTGCAACACAGCTTGTAAACATAATTAAAAGATTTTCCGTTTATTTATTTACTTCAAATACAAATATAACCATTGCAAAGTGTCTTTTTAAGTGCACCGTCCATTGGAAGCTAATGGCGAGAGAAAGGCAGAGCTTAACTTGTAACTTTGTTCTAAAATGAACTAATGAAAATTAATCTGCATTAAGGATTCAGCTCAATTCATCCAAGAGGCATCAAATATGTCATTATACCAATCCTCCAACTCAAGACATTGACAATTTGATCACTGAGCAAGCATTAGACTAGACAAGTGTTTCTCAACCTTGGCAGCTTTAAGATGGGTGGACTTCAACTCCCAGAATTCCCCAGCCAGCTATGCTGGTTGGGGAATTCTGGGAGTTAAAGTCCACGTCATCTTAAAGCTGCCAAGGTTGAGAAACACTTGTCTAGTCTAATGCTTGCTCAGTGATCAAATTGTCAATGTCTTGAGTTGGAGGATTGGTATAATGACATATTTGATGCCTCTTGGATGAATTGAGCTGAATCCTTAATGCAG